GGCGGTGCCGGGCCGGGGAGGGCGCAGCCCTGGGCGCTGCCCGCCGGCCGAGCAGGCGCTAGGCCGGGAAGGAGGGTTCGGGGTCCCGCCGCCGTCACCGCGGTGGAAGGACGGGAGTGGCCCGAACCGCCTTCCCCGGGCGCTGCCTGGAAGCGGGAGATGGCCGGGCCGGAGCGGGCCCCCGGCGGACGCCATAGCGGCAGCGCGGCCCCCGGAGCCCGGCAGGAATGGCGCCTGGCTGCTGTGGGGCACCGGCCGGGGAGAGCCGGGTCTGCCACCGCTGCTTCCCTCCGGCACCCTGAGGGTCCCCTCGGGACAGGCTGCACCCCCGCCGCGTGGGGAGCCCCGCACTGCTCCTAGCGGCTGCCTCAGCTCCTCGGGGCAGGAGCCAAGGCATTGCCGCCTAAAGGCAAAAGCCCGGGCAGACCCAGGCGCGTGGCAGAGGGATGTGTCCCCGCCACGGGCAGCTGTGGGGCAGTGGGTGCTGAGGTGTGTTCCAGGGTCCCTGCCATGCACGGCCACGCAGGGCTGCCAGTGCCAGGAGCGCTTCTCCCTGCACGACCACACGGCTGCCGGGGCCGCCTCGGCAGCCAGCCGGCCCTGGTGCTGTCAATGCCGCCATCGGCCCGTGGCGCTGGGGGGCCAAGTTATGGTGGCAGGTCCGTGCCCACTTGGCCGGGCTGGGTGCCCAAGCTGGAGCAGTGGGGAGATGTGGGGCCTGCAGACCCCGGGGGAAAGTGCCACAGGCACAGTGCTCCCCACCCTGATCTGCTGAGCGCCCCTGTGGGATGCAGCCACCCCATTCTCACCACTGGGCAGAGCAGCCACCCCAGCTCTCTGGCCTGAGCCCCTGCACTGCTTTGCCCTTGTAGTGCGCTGAGCCCATGGGACATGTTGTACACGTGTAGCCAAAAGAACACCATGACCCTGGTGCTCCCGACCAGGGCACCACAGCGCCCTGTGCTGGGCCCTCTCCACCAGGAGTGTGCCTGGGAGTGAGGCGGGTGAGCACAGCTTGTGCCTGACTCATTGGCCTTGCCAGGCAGCTGGGGAGCCCACGCCACTGTCCCTGCCGGGCTCTGCCATCGGCCGGCCATGCTGTCAGGGGCCAACTCCACTTCCAGCTCTCCGGGTTGCCAGTTGGGGCCTCATGCTGGCCCTGCGGCACCTCCAGCCTCGGCAGCCCGAGCGCCTGCCCTGTCCCCTTAGTGCCTGGGGCTGAGTCTGGCCGTGCCACGCCAGCCTGGCAAACCTGCCAGGGAGTCAAATAGAAACCTGCCCCCAGAGCGGCCTCCTGTGCCAGCTCTTTCATCTCCTGTGCCTGCTGTACCACGTGCTGCACCCACCTCTGCGGCAGCCTCCAGGGCCCTTTCCCCTCTCCCCACTCCTTGTGTCCCACCACTCCTAATGCAGGGACGTGTGCGTGGGGATGAGCCTGCCCGAGATGTTCCCTGGGATCCCAGGGGGCTGTGGTAGGCTGACCCCGGCCAGCAGCTGAGCACCCACACAGCTGCTCACACCTCCCCCCACAGCAGGACAGGGAGAGGATAGGAAAAGCAAAAGCAAAAACACTTGTGAGTTGAGCTAAAGACACTTTAAGCCATGAATGAAAGGGGAAAAATAAACCAACCTCCAACACTGTAAAGGCAGCCGCTCATTGCCTCCCACCAACAGCCGGGTGCCCAGCCAGTCTCCAAGCAACAGCCATGCTGGGAGCCAAACCCCTTCCTCTTCCTCTGCCTCCAGTCTTGCTGCCGAGGACAATGCTGTGTTGTGGACCATCCCTTTGGCCGCTGGGGTCAGCTGTCCTGGCTCTGTCCCCTCCTGGCCTTCTGCCCACCCTGGACTCCTCACTTCGGGGAAGAATGGGAAAAGGGAGAGCCTTGATACTGGGCGAGCTCTGCGCAGCCACAGCCCAAGCACCCGCACCTTGTCAAGGGGACCAGCCATTGCCATGCAGGTGACGGCACCCCACACGGACACCACATGCCCCCCATGCCAGCCCATGCCCAAACTGGCTGCCACAGCCTCATCCTGCCCAATGAGGGGCCAGGATCCCAGGCAGGGGGCCCCGTGGCCAGGGATCACTGGTGGACCCTGGACAGGCTCCCCGCAGAGCGCCCCGATGGTGGCTGCCAGGAGGTAGCAGAAAGCAGATGGCAGGGCGGGCCGAGCCGACAATCCCCCTAATCCCATCAGGGCAGTGGGGGCCAAGCGGAGCCGAGCCGGGCCATGGCGGGCACACGGGCACACAGCCGTCTCCTGCACTCTCTGCTCTGCCAGGTAGGACTGAGGGGGCTGGGGGCAGGGCTGGACTGGGGTGGGTGTGCCAGGCCAGGCTGGGGGGCAGCTCTGGCCCGCTGGGGTCCCCACTGACCATGCTCCCCCCAGCTATGCTGCAGCTGTGGCTGCAGCTCCTGCCATGGGCTCCGTGTATCCACAAGCACCCGCATCCTCTACACTCTCCTGCATGTCCTGGCCTCTGCCGTGTGCTGCCTCATGCTGTCCCGCACTGTGGCCCAGGCCGTCAGGGAGAAGGTGATGGCGGGAGCTGGGACACCCAGGGTGATGGGGATGCTGGGATGCCAGGGGTCCCGGGGGCACTGGGGATGCCGGGGTGCCAGGCATCCCAGGGGGACTTAGGGGTCCTAGGAGCACTGGGGGTCCCAGAATTGCCAGGGGAGCCAGGAGTACTGGGATGCTGGGGATACTGGGAGCAACAGGGCTGCTGGGAGTACCAAGGGTGCTGGAGGTGCCAAAGGGAAGGGGTTCCAGGGGTACTGAAGATGCAGAACTTGCCCAGTGTGCTTGGGGGTCCTAGGGGTACTGGGGATGGAGAAGGTATTGGGAATGCTGTGGGTGTCAGGATTCCAGGGGTGCTGAATGCCGTGGGTGCTGAGGCGTGTCAGGCACACCAACAGCCCTGTCCTGTCACTCACCATGCCTGTAGGTGCCCTTCTCAGTGGTGCTGTGCGAACACCTGCCTGGGGGCACAGACTGCGAGCGGCTGGTGGGCTCCTCGGCCGTGTACCGGGTCTGCTTCGGCACCGCCTGCTTCCACCTGGCACAGGCCGCCCTGCTCCTCAACGTGCGCTCCAGCACCGACTGCCGCGCTCAGCTCCACAATGGGTACAGGGATGGGGCGCAGGGCTGGGCTGGGCTGGCGAGGGATGGGGCTGCCGGGGGCTGCAGAGGGATAGGGTTGCTGGGGGCCCCGTCTCCCTGATGCTTGCTGCCCCGCAGGTTCTGGCTCCTGAAGCTGCTGGTGCTAGTGGGGCTCTGGGCTGCCAGCTTCTTCATCCCTGAGGACAGCTTCATCCAAGGTGCGTCCCCCACCCTGCCCAAGCAGGCATCCTGGGCCCCCACATGTGGCACCTACGTGGCCCTTGTGCTAGCCCCCACGTTTGCCCTGTCCCCCCAGCCTGGCACTACACGGGCGTCTGTGGGGGCTTCGCTTTCATCCTCATCCAGCTGGTACTGATCACCGCCTTCGCACACACCTGGAACAAGAACTGGTGAGTGCCAGGGTGCCGGGCGGGCACTTGCCTGCTGCTGGCTCTCACCTGCTCTCCTGGCAGGCTGACGGGCGCCGCGCAGGACAAGCGCTGGTACCTGGCCGTGCTGCTGGCCACGGCCGCTTTCTACACCCTCGCCTCCGCCGCCTTCTCCTTCCTCTACAAGTACTACACCCACCCGGCCGCCTGCCACCTCAACAAGGCGCTGCTCACCGTCAATGGCAGCCTCTGCGGCATCATGTCCTTCATCTCCATCACGCCCTGCGTGCGGCTCAGTGAGTACCGCATGGCACTGCACAGCATGGGCCACAGCATTGCAGGGCCATTCGTGTCCTGGGGCTGGGAGGGCAGCTGTGGGCTCCCCAGGGCTCCCGCTGGCCCCTCCTGTGCCTTGGGGCAAGGGAGCAGTGGGAGGGGGCTGCTCGGGGCCCACGCAGAGCCCATCTGCCAGCTCGTGACACACCAGGGGCTCTGGTGACACCTCTGACCTCACCCCTGCAGAGCAGCCGCGGTCAGGGCTGTTGCAGTCCTCAATCATCAGCTGCTATGTGATGTACCTCACCTTCTCTGCACTGTCCAGCCGTCCCCCAGAGAGAGGTGGGTGCTCCCGCCTGCTGCCGGCAGCCCCCCGCCGGGGCACGCACCGGTCTCACCTCCGCCTCCCCACAGTGCTCTACAAGGGGCAGAACCTCACCGTCTGCTTCCCGGGCGTCCGTCAGGACGAGCTGCAGACAGAGGACACCACCGTTGCTGTCCTGGGGGCCGCCATCATGTACGCCTGCGTGCTCTTCGCATGGTGCGTGTACCCACGGCGTGGGGCAGTCAGGGTCCCTGCAGCACCGGCCCTTCTGGGCATGGCGAGCCTGACAGGCACCGCAAGGGGACCCTGTCCCCAGTCTGTGGCACAGCCAGCAGAGCCAGGGGATGTCCCGAGGGATCGCAGGGCCAGAGCAGGCAGGACATCTGCAGATGGGCAGGGACAGTGTAGTGACCCCAGGCACAGCACAGCAGGTGTCCTCCAGTCATGTCAGATCCATGGAGGGGGGCACTGGGTGCCTGGCACAGGGCAGTTGGTGCCCATGTTACAATTTCTGCCTCTCTCCTGGGCACAGTAATGAAGCCTCCTACCTTGCTGAGGTCTTCGGGCCCCTCTGGATGGTCAAAGTCTACAGCTTTGAGTTTAAAGTGAGTACGGATGCTGTCCCTGCCCCCGCTGTGCCCTGTGTCCTCCTGCCATGGACACCCCAGACCTGCCACTCCAAGCCCTGGACCCAGGCCTGGGGCAGGTTTGTCCAGCCAAGCACAGGAGACTTCCCACAGAGCACCCCTGCCTGCACCAGCTCCTCAGAGTCAGGCAGCCCCAGTGCCAGGCAGGGCTGGATCCTGCGGCAGGGCTCAGCCCAGCAGTGGTGGCCATGGAGCTGGGCTGCCCTGCCCCAGCAGCAGTTGCCACCACACTCCTCTCTCTGCAGAAACCCTCCTGTTGCTTCTGCTGCCCAGAGAAGATGGAGGAGGAGCTCAGAGGTGGGTGCCGGGTGGGTGGGCAGACCCTGCCCTTGAGTGCCTGTGTCCCAGCCCAGCGGGTGCTGGCAAGGAGGGGGTGCGGGAGCCGCCGTGCCCCTGTGCTCTCCCAGGCGCCGAGCCAACATGCGAGCAAGCGGAGGAGACCGCCAGGGGACAGTGCATCATCCAGGATGAGCGAGACCGGGTGGTCTACAGCTACTCAGCCTTCCACTTTGTGTTCTTCCTCGCCTCACTCTACGTCATGATGACCCTCACCAACTGGTTCAGGTAGAGCCCCACGCTTCTGCCCAGCCCTCCTTGCTCTTGCTCCCCTTCCCTCTTGCTAGTGCAGCCACCAGCACTGTCACCCCCTTCCCAGCATCATCCCCCCCTCAGCGTCATCACCCCACCAGCTCCAACCCGCTCCCTGTGGAGGCTCAGGCTGCAGCATTGCACTCCTCACTGGCCCTCTGCTCCAGGCCGTGCTGGTGTCACTGAGCTGGTGCCTGCTGGGGAAGCACATGGCTCTGCACCCACAGACCTGCACCGCTTCAACCAACAGCCCCTGCCAATGGCAGCCAATGGCAGTGCAGTGAGCCAGGCTGGGGTCTGCAGGGCTGAGGGGGCTCCATGGCAGGTGGGACGTGCCCAGGGCCACGCAGCTGCTGGGACACAGGGTGACCTGGTGGGTGCAGCTGGTGCTGGGATCCCCCGTGTTGGCATCCCTCCGGTGCCCAACAGCTGCCCTCTCCCACCAGCTATGAGAATGCAGTGCTGGAGACCACCTTCACACACGGCAGCTGGTCGACCTTCTGGGTGAAGATGTCTTCGTGCTGGGCCTGTGTCCTGCTCTACCTGTGGCTGCTGCTTAGCCCCTTCTGCCTCCACAGCTCCCCCCAGCACCGGCGCAGCAGCCCAGCCCTGCGCGTCGTGCGGCGACGACGCGCCCAGCAGCGCATCAGTGTCTCCACGTAGTCCCTGCTGGGACAGACTGTGCCCGGCCGCTCACATGGCAGCAGCAGGGGCTGGTGCCTGCCATGCCCTGTGCCTGTGCCCTGGCCCCACTGGGTTCCACTGGCCTCCCTGACCCCCGTCCCAGGAGATGGCGGCATCTGAGAGCCTGAGGGTGACCCAGGAGGTGGGCGCTGACAGGGACACCAGTCCTGCGCTGAGCTGGGGCCACCCGAGGGGCTGGCCGGAGGGGGCCAGGTGGTGGGTGCTCAGCCCTGGCTGCTGCTGGGGTCCCTCTGGGCAGGGAGGCAGCTCCTGCCACACACTGGCTACCAGTCTGGCTGCCCTGGCCCAGAGTCTGCCGGGCAAGCAGGGCTCTGCCCTGGCCATCTCTGTGTCTCAGCTTATCCACCAACGGTGTGCTTATTGTAAATAGCTTCTTCAATACATTTTTATATAAAACTCAGAGCTGAGTCTGTGCCATCTGCCCCCATGAAGGCCGCAGATGTAGGGCTGGGCATGGAGGTGCCCACACCACCCCAGCACCGGCCCCTTCCATGCAGCAGCCATGGCCAAGGGTGCCTTTGGGACAGCTCTGCTGGAGAGGGGGGGACAAGCTGGGGGTGGCAGAGGAGGAAGCGCTGGCCTAGGATCCCGGGCTCCAGGAGAGCGTTCAGCCCATGGCTGGTGCTCCCTGCATGCTCCCAGCTGAGCCCCTGGAGGAGCCAGCTCACCCCCCCGAGGACACGGGTGACTCCAACATGACGTGGTGCTGGGTGCACTGGCCTGAAAGGTGCCTGCGAGCTGTTGTGGCACCAGCCTGGCCTGGCAGTGGGGCCAGTGCAGGGACAGGACCCCCAGACGAGCACCTTCCCGGGCAGCAGGGACGGTCCCAAACTGCTTGGCCAAGGACCTGCCCCAGGACACTGGGGACAATGCCAGGCTGTGGGGTCCCATGGGCACCATGCCCAGCCCTGGCTGCAGCTGCTCCTGTCCCCCACCACAGCAGCTGCCCTTCTCCATGGGGACCATGGTCACAGCACCTCCAGACCACCCTCCACCCCATCTGCTCTCTGTGGCTGGGCAAAGCCCTGGGGAGGATGGATGGACAGGCAGACAGACGGACGGAGCCCCCGGCACCTGCCAGCGCCCAGTGCTTCAGTGGGAGGGGAGCCTGAGTCACTGGGTGGGGGTACTAGTGCAGGTACCAGAGCGAGCCAGGGCATTGGCGGGGGGGCAGCCCAGCTGCCCAGGAGGGCACGGTGCCAGCACTGCTGCAGGATCATGGGCCAGCCCCGGGCCCCCATCCGCAGAGCAGACACATCAGGGCGGTTCCATGGGGCCCAGCAGCACTGCAGGGCCACGGCACCAGCTGCACCCAACAGGCCCCATGCTGCAGCGGTGGCAGCCAGTGCCAGATGGGGACTGACACCTGCGGCCAGGGCTCCCGCCAGGCCCTGTGCCCACCAGCCTGCCGCAGCCAGCAGGATATGGTCCCGCAGGAGGTGAGGGTGGCACTGCAGGGCAACGCTGGGGTCTGGCCCTGTCCTGATGCGGCAGTGCAGTCACCGTGGGGTCTCCAACTGGAGCAGCGGGGGCTGCATTGGGAGCAATGGGGGTCTATAGTGCCCAGCGCCCAGCACCCCAGGCTGGGCACTGTGGCTCACACCTCTCCCTCTCCAGGAGATGCAGGGACCCACACAGGGCTCAGGGACAGGAGCCAGGCAGCTGTGGCACCAGCTTGGGGACATCACCCAGGTAGGGCTGGGCAGGGGCCCAGGCAGTGATCCCCTGCAGCCCTGGGCACCCAAGAGCTCCCCGGTGCACCGGGCTGTGCCCCAGCAGGGACTCGTCTCGCCCTGCCCAGGAGAATGATCGGCTGCGTCGCACCCTGCGTGAGGCCGAGCGCAGCGTCTCCCAGCTGCAGGCAGAGCTGGAGCAGCTGTGGGGGGACTTCCCTGAGCAGGCGCAGCAGCACAATAAGTGGCATTTTGCGGGAGGGGGATGGCGGGGCTGTACCCAGCTTTGCAGGAGACCCTGCCTGCACATGGCCCAGCGCCAGCCCTGTGTGCTGCTCCAGCAGCAGGCGGCACTGCCAGCAGGTGCCCTGCCGAGCCCAGCCGTGGGCAGGGACGCTCTGCCAGACCCTGTGCGCTCCTGCCTGCCCTGCTGCTGTGGGGAAGGCCAGGTGCCCGTTGGGGAAATGCTGCCTTGCTCGGCCCCATCATGAGCACAGGCAGCTGGGAAGCCTGCCCAGAGCTGCTGGCACATCCCTCCAGGCCCATTGTTGGCAAGCTCTCGGTGTCCTTGGGACTCCCTGGCCGTCTCAGCACCTCCACGGGTACCTCTGCCTCCCCAGGCATGGGGTGCCTGCTGGGTTGGGGCTGGAAGGCTCCATGCAGCCCCTGTGCCCGCCAAGGGGGCAGGTCCCCATGGGGGCCCTGCCATGAGGCTCCTGTGTCCCTGCAGGGAGCATCTGGCCCTGTGGGAGATGGCGGAGGAGAACCTGGCGTTCGCAAGCTACGTCAGGATGCTGCAGTATGTCCCAGCCCGGCCAGGCAGCGGAGGGGGAGCAGTCACTGGGGCAGCTGGGGATGTGCTGCTGCCTGCAGGCTGCCATTGCTGTGGGTACAGCCCTCCCCTGGGTCAGCCCCTGCTGCCCCCCGGCTCCCTCCCACCAGGATGACAAACAGAAGCCTCTGCAAGAGCAAGAGCCTGCACTCAGCCCTGCTGCTCGGCTCGCAACCGGACCTGCGAGCGGTGAGCCCTGCAGCTGCTGCAGAGCATGGGGCTGGCACCCATGCAGGAGCAGAGGGCCAGGACTGGCACCCGCAAGGGCAGGGATGCTGGGTGCTGGCCCGTGCCGCAGGGCACAGTGGCTGGCTGGCTCAGCTGCCCTCACTCACGGGGACACAGCACATGGGCTGCTGCCAGCACTCTGGGACCCGCCTGAGTCCCTGGATCTGGAGGCCACAGAGTCCCCCCCAGGTACCCCCCCACAGGGTGCCTCCATGCTGAACCTTCTGCCCCACAGCCATGGCCCCCTGCTGCCCGCCCAGAGGGCACCCACAGCAGGTGAGTGATGGAGGGTGGAGGGGCAGGCAGGCTGCAGCCCCCCCCTCCCTGAGCACTGCCCTCCAGCACAGGAGCAGGGGGGGAATTCCCAGCACCACCCACTCCCCGATGCAGCCTCTGGGGCAGATGGAGACCTGGGCTGCAGCAGTGCCAGCCTCGGGCAGCAGCAGAGCTTGGCCTCCAGCCCAGACACAGCCTCCTTGCTCAGCAGTGCAGGCAGCCACAGCTTGGAGGACAGTCCTCCCTCCAGCTCCCACGAGGGCACCAAGGTGAGGGATCTGCCCCCAGCCCAGCACCACGGGCTAGGGAAAGGGACACAGGGCTGCTTGCCCGCAGCTCCCTGGTTTGGGCCCCTCACCATGACATCTGTCACCCAGCAGGCCTCTGGCCCCCCGACAGGTGAAGCAGACGGACCCAGTGGCTCTCCCAGGCGCTTCAGCAAGAGGAAGCTTCCTGCCTTTACACCGGAGGTAACCAGCAACTCCCCATCCGGTGCAAAGGGCCAGGCTACGGGGGAAACCGGGGCACACCCACACCCTGTGCCAGCACCCCACTGCTGCTTGTCTCACCAGAACTGCAAGAGGGGAGAGGAACCCACATCCCCTGCCCCATGTACCAGCTGGTTCTGGCAGGGGACAGGGGCATGGGGAAGTCCAGCTTCCTGATGCACCTCTGCACAAACAAGTTCAGAGGAGACATCTCCAGCACCCTCGGCACCCAGCTGGGGCAGAGGCACAGGAGCAGCACCTGACTGTCCCTCCCAGCACGGATGGACTTGCAGATAAAGCAGTTGCTGGTGGACAGGGAGCAAACCACATTACAGATCTGGGACACAGCTGGGCAGGAGAGGCGAGAGCGCAGGGGCTGGGTTGCCTGATGCCATGCCAGGCCAGTCAGGGCCAGGTCCTGCTCTGGCAGCAGCCCCACAGGCTGGCAGTCACTGCACCAGCAGCAGAGCAGCCCTGGGGCAGTGGGCCTGGCCCAGGCCCACAGCAGTGACACCCCTGGCCCCAGGTACCAGAGCATCACCCAGTGCTACTTCCACAAAGCCCACGGCGTGCTGCTCCTCTATGACATCAGCTCCCCAAGCAGCTTCCTCAGCGTCCGCCAGTGGATTGAGGACATCAAGGTAGCAGGAAGGGTCCAACAGGCACCCAGCCCCCACAGAAAGGGGCAGGAGCTCTGGGGCCAGGCTGTGCCATGCCCCAGACAGTCCTAGGGGAGCAGGAACGAGACAGGAGCGAGCTGGGCTGGTTGCAAAGCAAGGTGGGGGGCCAGCCTCTGGGAGCAGCAGGATTGCTTCCCCCCAGCTTTTCCCCTTCACTGGTGTTTGTGTTGGGTCTGGAACTGCACTCTGCTCCTCTGCATGGTACAGGTGTGACACGGTGCAGCCGGTGCATGTGACAGAGCTCTAGGGCTCCTTGAGGAGATGGACTACAGCAGCAGGTGGAGGCTGCCAGCCCCAGGGAGCTCTGAGCTGCCCTTCCCTCCCACAGGCCACAGAGAGGCCGCTGCCACTCATGCTGGTGGGGAACAAGACAGACCTGCAGCACAGCCTGCCAGAGGCAGCAACTGGCCAGGGTGAGCAGGCGCACCTCGGGGCCCCTAAGGGCAGCAGGGACCCCACTGACACCCCCTGCTCCCCCCAGGCCCACGGCTCCCCGTTCTGTGAGACCAGCGCCAAGGACAGCACCAATGTGGTGGAGGCAGTGCTGCACCTTGCCCAGTGAGGAGCTCTGCCTGCTGTGGCACCCAGCTTGGGGCCACACAGGGCCCGCGGCAGCCACTGGGCCCCATCCTGCCAAGGTGGTGGGACCAGCTGATGCCACTGCTCCCGGCCCTGCAGGGAAGTGAAGAGGACAGTGGGCCAGAGCAAAGGCCACAGCACTGGACTGGACCTCAGCATCCCAAGGGCAGCTCCACGCTGCTGCTGGACCTAGCACAAGAAA